CCACTAGATGCCGCTGCAACCTGCTACTTCAGGCTCTGGAAAGAAAACTTTTCCCAAAATATGTAAAATTAAAAGAGTCTGCCCCTTTTAAGGGCAGCAGACTTCACAATCTCCTACTTGCAGGCGCTTTGGCTCATTATTTTTCTGTGTGAACACGCATTGGATGTATCTCACAAGGGATAATAAAGTTATCTAAAAAGTGAACAGAAAGTTGCGAGAGCTCTATAGAAAACGCTTGCTTGCCTTTCATCGGCACCCTCAGAAGTCGCATTTGCCTTGCGTCTCACAGCCACCGCAGCGGGCTGTAGAGAAGAGAGGCGAAAGTTTGACTTAAGTGAAATAAAAAGTAATACTGGAAAGGAGGACTCCGATGCTTTCTTATGTGGAGATGGCAGATCGCGAGGCCTGCTTTGAGCAGGAGGAGCCGGAGGAAGAGGAAGCCAGACTAAGGGGACGGGGTCTGTGATCACCCCAGCCCAGACCCTGGGCACGGGTTCAGGGCCTCCATGCTGCAAGCCCAGATTTTCCCTGCTGGGTGAGAATCACTGTCCCGGGAAAATGATCCAGACTTCACAGCTAAGTGGAAGCCCAGGAAACTTCTAGAGATGTGTGCAGAGAGGGCTCAGCTCGGGGCTCTGTCCTGAGGTGTGGACAGACACTGAGAGTTCGCGTTCAGAACGCGCCCAGCACACCAGTGTCTGCTGTGTTGGTTACACGTCATGGGAAGACGTGGGCGGGGCGGGATGTGTTCAGCGGAGAGCCCGAGGAGGAAGAGGCGAGGAGAGGAGGAGAAGGGGAAGGAGGAGGGGAAGGAGGAGGGGAGGAGGGCAGGGAGGAGGAGGAAGAGGACGAAAAAGAGGAGGAGGAATGGAAGAGGAGGAGGAGGAGAAATAAGTCCAGCCTATATTTTCATGCACTTCTAGTTCATTCTTCTAGTCATTCAAATTTTCTAGTACTTTGCAGAAGCTATGGACCCATAACAGATTAGAATTTTTAGAGAAGTGATCCTCCGTCTCAGAGAACTTGCAAAGCCCCGCTAGGAGCCCGCCTGAGTGGTCAGAGGAGGGGGCCCCAGCACGCTGAGCCCTGTGCACGGGCTGATTAACTTTCTAGAAGTCACTCTAGGTAGGAAAGGGCCAAAGGAAGAAGGACTGAGGAGGAGGAAGGAAACCCCAAGAGCTGCCGGCTTCCGGAGCCCCAGCCTCAGGCTTTCAGGGATCTTGGGCATCGGGGACCCTGAGCCAGGCCCCGCCCAGTGCCCAGTGCGCCTGCGCAGCGTTGGGCCGCGTAGCTCCTGTTAAGAGGTGCTCCAGGATCAGAGCGAAATAAAACGCAAAACCACTCAGAATCGCCATGTGTGCCATGCGTAGCTTCAGAGGGGAGGCAGGCAGTAGCTCCATAGCAGCCCTTCCTGGCTTGAGTGAGCAGCTCAGCCAGCTTTGATGGAAAGAAGGCTGGGTTTCTACTCATGGGTGTCCATAAGCTGGGTATTTACTTAGCTTTTCTGAATAATGGCCACTGTGGTACTACTATCCTGTCAGTGTTTTTTTGGAAAGCAATCAGGTGATAGCTATCCAAACGTAAGCTGTGACAACCCACCCCCCACCCCAACAAAAAAAGCCGGGCATGGTAGCACATGCTTGTAATCCCAGTACTTGGCAGGCTGAGGCAGGAGAATTTCTGTGAGTTCAAGGCCAGCCTGGGCTACCTAATCAAGTTCAAGGCCAGCCTGCGCTACGCAGTGAGACCCTGTCTCAAAAAAAAAAAAGTGTAAGCCGTGAATACACCCGTTCTCAGCAAAATGCCTCCTGTAGTTCTACCCGAGAGGTAAGCAGAAGCACACACGACACAAGGTCCAACAGGCACCAACTTTTTGTAAGGGGAAAAAATCCAGAGAAAACCTAAAAGTTGTTCAATAAGAGCTTTTTGAAATAACTTATGATATACCGTGCAACAAAGCAGAATACCCCATTAAGAGAGAAGATGTAGCTGGGGTCTGTGGTGTGCAAGCTTGAACCCTAGGTACTTAGAAGGTGTACAGTGGAGGAAATTAAGTTCAAAGCAAGCCTGAGCAGTTTAGCTAGATGTAGTCACAAACAAACAAACAAACCCCTTCAAACTAGATGCTTCCTTAGGAAGTAATAGGAGAATGGCCCCAAGACATCTGTGAAGGCAAAACAAGCAAGTTGGAGTAGGGTATGGCACAGTCCTATTTGTATTAAAGAAAAAAAAGGAACATAAGGATTTTGATGGAACAGAGAATCCTTCTCAGCTGTTCAGAGTGTTTAGCCGGGGGAGTGGGGCTCAGGATCCAAGCTGGAGAGCGGTTTGTTTGTATCATCGCACCCTTCTATGTGATTTGGCTTTTTAAAAATAAACTATGCATTAGTCTCATGTGGCACAGCCTGCCTCTTGCACAGCTGCCAGAGCTGCAAGACATGGCATCGCCTTGCAGGTAGACATAGCCCGAGATGAGGAGCTTCACACAACCCTAGAGCTTCACACGCAAGTGATGAAACACAACTTCCAGTTTGCTTTCACTTCTAGATGGTGAATATTTATAGTGGCAAACAATAGCAGCCTCAGGCACCCCGTGGGACCCAGTGCAATGTGTGTAGGGGCTCAAGGCCTCAGGGGATCCTGGACATACAGAGGGAACCGAAAAAGCCTCGAGACAAAGGCTCATGTGTTCAATTACTATGTGGGAATGGAGCAGGAGGAAAGATGTTTCCTGTTTAAATCCACCCTGCCCAGTGTGATTCAGTGTAATACCACTGGTGTCAGAAATATTTTTCTTAAAAGTTGCATATATCCAGGCATTGTGGCACATGCCTGTAATCTCAGCATTCAGGAGGCTGAGGCAGGAAGGTCAATGCAATTTCGGGGCCAGCCTGAGCTACATAGTGAGTTCAAGGCCAGCATGGACTACATAGTGAGACCCTGTGTCAAAAACAAAACAAAACAACCAAAACAAAATAACAAAAGTTGTATATAATTACTGTAAAATACACAACTTTTCCTCTTTTAAGTTGTTTAGTCTCAGGGATTTGGCCATAGCAACGGAAAGCCAACTAACACAGAACCTCCAGCACGGTGTGCTGTGGTGCTCTCCACCGATGGCTGTTTTCAGAGCTGTTCTGAGCATGGAAAACATATCGTTTACTCCACCTTGGTCTTCCTTTCTGTCACCTAGTCAGTGGTCTTGGGAACAGTTCTGATAGACAGCTGTGGCTCAAAGCTGTTTGAATGATACTTTTGAGCTTCCCCTAAAGAGACACAGGGAGAAAATCATGCTGCCTGCCAGAAAGCCCGTTTCTGTGCAGCTCAAGTTGCCTTCATGGAAACGGTGGTTGGAAGCAGAAGGTGAAGTTCAGCAAGCCATGGGGACAGGGGGATGCCTTTTGCATTCACATTTCTTTTTTGTACCAGGAATCAAACTCAGGACCTCACACTTGCAAGGCAGGGGCTGCGCCACTGAGCTATATCCCTGGCCCCATCCTTTGCATTCATAAGTAGCTTCACGATCAGCATTGTGAGGCTGGGAGAGATGACCAAGGGGACTTGAAGGGGGTATCAAGGTAGGAAGCCAGGATTAGCTTTAAGATACCCACAGAGCAACCAGCCCTTCCTAACCTTCTGTTACGTCTCGTGTGACAGATACGCTGGGGAGTCTTCAGGGAGCTAGGGATGGCGGGCAGGGAGCATGCAGGCAGAGCCACCCCTGCTGGGGCACCAGAGGCCTCCCAAGGCTCTGGGAAGAAGCAACATCTTTCAGCCAGCTGAGCGGCGGCAACATCATTGAACTCAGCAGCAAGAGGAAGAGATAGCAGTATTCTCCATAATTCCTTCTAGGGGAGGTAGCTATGGGAGATGAAAGGGGCCCATAGAGAAGGGTGAGACCCTTGTGGACCCTGTCTTGTGGGAAAGGTGGGTGCTACTAACTGTGGAACTTTTATTTTGCTGCGGGGGCTGCAAATGCAGGGTCCTAAATGAGTTCTCTGGGTGTAAGATTAAGGCTGAAGCTGCCTTCTCTGGGCTCTTGCCTTCGCTGGGTCATTATTCATTTAAGGGTACTGGGCCTTTTCTGTGAGTCAATAGCCAACAGCTAGTTTAAACCCACCCATTTAAATAGTGTCAAATGATTGCCCTGCCTCTACCTGCATTTAGGCATGGCTTTTGGGCCTGTGGTGCTATGTTCAGGCTTTTCACGGCTGAACAGCGGAAGACCCTAACGCCACAGGTAGAGACCGAGGTGCACACCGGTGTCAGCCATCTTGGGAGGAGCTCAGACAGGAAGTCACAGGCAGGCACAATGCGCCCCCAGCTTGGAAAGTGAGTGAGGTCCTTTGTCTTCTGCCGAATTAAGAGGATAGGTGTTTGAATGTGGTGCTGGCCACGGTGAAGCCGGAATGGGGATGGGGTGGAATTTTTAGTGCCAAAGAACCGGAGCTATAGTTCAGCATTTACTGAGGGACTCCTTCAAAAAAGATAAATACGATGGAGAGGCACTGTTGAGGAATACTGCACTTAACACACAGAATCGTTTTTAGACTGAAACCTTAGAAGCCTAAACTGTCCTTATTGACCACAACCTGTCAATCTGTAAAGAATCTGAAGGTTTGGGGCCCTACTGTGCGTAGGCCTTACCACCTCGCATCTCTTGGGAGCTGCCCGAGCTTTGGTAAAGAAATAGTGTAAGCACCTAGATTCCACCTACATCTGGGACTTAGCTGCGTTCTTGGTCTCCTCACCCTCCAGTGTGGCAGGCACAGCTCGGGGCCAAGCAAGCACCGAGTTTCCTGGGATGCTCTCCCACAGCAAACTGGAAAAACCGGCAAAGCAGACGCTTCTGCCCTCAGAGGCCGTGTCAATTCTTTCCCACTTTCAGTCTGTACAGTTTTGAATCGAAACTGGAATAATAATTACAAGGATACATGCTTACAGATTTTAACTAATTAATCCCTTGGAGTCCTCTTATGGGGGAAAAGCGTTCTACCCACCTCATACATCAGGAAAACAAGAGGCCATCTGGTTCGGCTGGGCTGGGTGGTCGCTGGTGTCAGCAGAAGAGTGGAGACTACAGCTTCAACAGTCCTTGATTTCTTGGCCTGTGTCCAGATCGCCGGGCCTTGTAGCCCCTGGAAAGGTGACATGTGAGAAAATGAAGGGACCCAGACCATAAACCACTAGGAGCAGTTGCCTCCAGTTAGGAGGGCAGACCCTGTGGCCCTGCCTGGGCCTCTGTCTCTTTGAGGGGCAGGCTCGGAGGGGAGGAAACGCATTATACCAGGAGGGTTTTGTTCACTTTTCATTGCCAGTTAAAAGAAAACATGCTGTAGAGAAAATTCCCGTGGACAGAAAACTCCAAGTTGCTGTGAAAGTTTCTTCTTTTTCTCCTTTGAATCCCAAGGACTGCAGACATATAATTCAACATTGGAAAATACTGTATCTGTCTGTGACACCCACCCCATACGGCTGCTGGGGACTCCAGTTACAGGTCGGAGAGTAACTGAACCAAATCCTTCCAGTTGGGCCGGCCCTGACCTGCTTAAGAACTTTCTTAGCCCTTTTTAATAAGAGGTAACTAGGTTTTCTCCTGGTTCTGTCTTCTCCATTGCCAGCAGGATTTTCTCCAACAAATTAGGAGGAGGAGTGGGGTGGGAGAGAGAAGGGAAATCAGGTTCTTCAGTAATCACAGCTGGGGCTGGGGATATAGCTCAGCGGCACAGCGCCTGCCTGGCAAGCACAAGGTCATGAGTTTGATTCCTGGTACCAAAAAAAAAAAAAAAAAAAAAAAAAGAAGTCACAGCTGTTTCATGGTTAGGCAAAGGGTAAGGACACAGAAGGAGGCAGTGCAGGGGGCCCTCAACTCCAATAGACGAACGCACAACTAAAGCCACTCAAGTCAGCACAGACTCCAACCTGGGCTGCCGGGGGGAGTTGCTTGTGTTTTTGTAGGTGAGCAGACACGGTCTAGCACTCTCTGTCCGGGGTGTGTCAAGGCTGATCTCCAGCCCTGTTGGGGAATGGCGCTGTCCTCTTATTGAGTTCTCCTGGGCCGGTAAAGGGCATTTCATTTCTCCCGGCCCCAGATCGCGTCGTGTCATCATCCAACTCTTTCACTGTGGACTTTCTGGTTCTCTCATTCAGCTATAGAATTGCTAGTAGTAGGGACCAGAGTTTTCATTAGTGAAACTAATCAAAACAATTGATCACAAATCTTCCCCTTGTGTGTTATCGGCTGAGAGACACAAGCTCGTTTCAACCTCATCCCTATTGCTCGATTTCCTCACAGGATTCCATGTTTCCTCCTCCAGGTTCTGAGAGTCCTCCCTGATGCTGGGAGCACATCTGGGAGCCATGTGTGTCTTTCCTTTGCTCCTGCACAATGGTAATTTTTTTTTTCTGGCAGCGGGGACTACAGGAAGCTCAGCAGATTGAGAAGTACAAGGAGCCGCCCCAAGACCCGAGATGAAGGACACTTTCGTTATCAGCAGATGGGAACGCCAGCACCTACTTTAGACAGTGGTTGTCCTGAGAAGCTCATCCTAATCCTGACTTTGGTGAATCTGTCTTGAGATAACAACCTCATGTTGAAGTCATTTCTCCCCACCAGAAGGTCTAGAATAGGTTCAGTTGTCATCTATTTTATGTAATTCTGACTGCTTCGAGAAGCCTGGAGGGGTTATTGAGAGAGTGTGTCTAGGCATAGGGATGAGTGCTCCAGCTCGACAGTCTGCAACACCATTGGTAGCCCTTGAAAGGTTCTCCAGGAAGTGTTGGCTGTTAATGCCCGGCTCCGATGCTCCTGTGTGAGCCGAATGGAGATCATGCGCAACTTCGCAGGTAGCCAAGTGCCCTTAGCTGATGCCTTGCTCAGGGAGACGCAAACGTGGCCCATTCTGAGCCCAGAAAACATTTCCAAAGAAACAGTGGAAACTGACCACTTTCCTGTGCCAGTAGATTGCTTGTCTCTCCTTTAACGAACAGAAGAGTGACAAGCTGATAGCCTGTGATGTTGTGTCCTTCTACAGGCTGAGAGGGCTGCACCAAGACGGTCAGAAATCCCCTGCCACACAAGAGTTGTTTTAGGATTTCTGACTCTCCGGGTGGTTGGGAGGAGAGAGGGATCCCTGCGGAGGCTGAGACGTCCTTCTGAGATAGGGGTGGCAAGAAGCAGCATACAGGAGACCCCTGGCCCGGCTTGTGGGGTATTTGACACAAGTTCTTAGAGACAGGAGCTGCCCCCGGGGAGGCCAAAGGAGCCCTCACAGCTTAGAGACAAGCAAGCTACTGGCAGAAAGCACCAGGGGGCTCATGGGAAGTGTGTGTGTGTCTGTGTGTCTATGTGTGAGACACCAGGAAAGGAGAGGGGGAGAAGGAGAAGGGGAGGCGGGAGGACTCCTCCTTTGGCTTGGTCCTCTGGAGGGGGCAGCTGGTTTACACCAGGACCTGAGCTCCAGCCCTTGTGCTGAGGTATCTGCTTCCTTCACTGGACTTGCCTCTAGCTTGAAACCAATCACCTTGCTTGCTTCTTGGAATGAAGTCAAAGAAGGCTTGATCCTACAACGAAAACCATGAGAGAGGGTCCACCTCCAGCTCGGGCTTTGAGACTATGATCTGCAGAACTCTGAAGTGATCTAGAGCGATGTGTAAATGCTGCAGGGACTGCAAATGCTCAACTCTGATCTCATAAAAAAATTTCCACTTCATGCCCTTTCAAACAGCTGTTATAAAAAAACTAAATCCAAACACCCCCCCAGAAAACAGTGTTATTGGTGAGGGTGTGGGGAAACTGGAGCCCTTTGTTACTGTTGGTTAGAGGTAAAATGGTGGCAGCACTATGGAAAACAGGATGGAGATTTCTCAGAAAATACTCACAGAATGACTATGTGATCGAACAGTTCTGTGCAAAGCAAAAACTCAGACACATTTGCACACCAGTGCTCATAGCAGCCCTAGTCATAATCCCCGGAAGCTAGGAACGACCCAGGTGTCCCTTGTTGGGTAAATGGATAAATACGGTGTGGTGGACCCATCCACCCTTTGAACATTGTGAAGTTCTGCTGCACAGTACTGTGTAGGGAAACCGTGACATTATTATATATATAATTATATAATATATATTAATATATTATTATATAAGTATATATTGTATAATATAAATAATATAATATATATTTATATATAAATATATAAATAATGTAATATATAAATTTTCCATAACTTCAAAACCTAATTTTTTCTATTAAAAATTTAATTAAGAAAGCACAAATACTGAAATACTAAAAAATGCACACACTAATTGCTACTATGTCAGAGGAACTGTTAAACAAGACTTCTGTTTTACTTCTTATTTGTATCCCCCAGGACTCCAGTGGTGTTTCTTGTCTGACTTTTATGAGTAAGAACATAAACTATGGTTAGATTTGATAACATTTCTGCTTAAGAACAGAAACTGCCTTCTCTTTCCTTTTTTTTTTTCCAGTACTGGAAATCAAACTCATGACCTCACACTTGCCAGGCAGGCGCTTTGCTGCTGAGCTAAATCCCCAGTCCCTCTTTCCTTTTTTAAGCATCTGAACCAGCTGCATCAGTGGTCACCTTGATCCTGTCATCTGGAACTTCTCCTTCATTTTATTTTTTTACTTTTAGACATGGTCTCACTAAATTGCTAAATCACCCGGGCTGGATTTAAACTTGTGATCCTCCTGCCTCAGCTTCCCAGAGTCCTGGGATTACAGGCATGCTCTTTGATTTTCATATTTATCAAAATGGAACTATCACAAATTTGAACTTACAAAAATTTGCCAATAAAACACTACATTTGTTTCAAAAGCATTGGAGTTCCTGCCAGATTTAAATTCCAAAAGGTTTCTGCTGATAAAAAAGTTTGAAAACCACTATATTTGTTCAATTCCCTTTGGTTCCATTCAGTGAACACTTATTGAAACATATATTCAATTCTTAATTGGATACACAGTGAGTTCGTGAGGGATAAGGCATTGGAGAGCTCAGTTCTGATCACTCATGACCCGAGAATGGTTTTCTGTTTTAAATTGTAAGAAAAGAGGCCTATTTCCTAACATAAAAATTATATTGAATTCAAGTGTTAGTGTCTGTCAATAAAGTTTTATTGAAACACAGCCACATTCATTCAGGCACTGTCTGGCGGTTTTTGCGGTACCTGTGTAGAGCTGAGTGGTTCTGACAGGGACTGGACAGTCTCAAAGCTTGAAGCATTTACCCCTTGGCCCTTTACCCACAAAGCTCTCCAACCCTTGCATTAGGCGATGGCCACACCCATGCGATGTCTGAGCACCAAGGTCCCAAAGCCCGCCATTCACCTCAGTGTTGCCAGGCGCAGCACCTGGTCTCACCGCAGAGGCAGACAGCCCAGACCCAGGGCTTTGAGGCCGGGAGAACTCACCCGCAAGGTGGGGTGGGGTAAAGGATGTCTGAGAGCAGTTTCTGTCGTCACAGTGACAAGGACCGCAGCAGGTGTTCAGCATTCTGGATGTTTCTGTGGGCATAGTGGGCAGGGACTGAGGTCACCATGAGTTACTGGACGGTGCTGAGGACAGCCTTTCCCAGGGAAGGACCGTTCTGTCCCTAAGGGAATCGGTGCCCCCACTGGGAACCAGCAATGGGGAGAATTACTATGGTTCACCTTGGGTGCTGACTTGGTTGGGCCATTGATGTGGTGGAAGGTGCCCCCTCCAGACTCCCGTGTGGGGAACTTAACCCCCAAATTCACCGTGTTTGGAGGGGGCCCTTTGGGAGGAAATGAGGATTAAATGAAGCAGTGAGGGTTGGGGCCCTGTGATGGTATTAGTGCCTTTTACTAGGAAGATGGGGCCAAGATTGCTCTGGTCATGCCCCACCCCGCCCCGCCCTGCCCCGTGGTGCCCTCTGCCACATTACCATGCAGCAGAAGGTGCTTGCTGCGTGCCAGGCAGATGTTGGCAATGCGCTCTTGGGCTTGCCAGCTGTAGAACCACGAAAAGTACATTTATTTTCTTTATAGATTATTTACCCAATCTCTGTGTTCTGTTAGCAACATAAACAGACCAAGAGAACCGCGGCGCCCAGATATTTAGTCCAGCAGCATTTGGGATGTTTCCGTGAGAACAGTTTT